GGATCATTGATTGGCTGCCTCTTGCATGCCCCCTACTGGGGATGGAGCATGTGCCCTTACTGGGAATCAAACTGTGACCTCCTGCCTCATAGGTGGACACTCAACCATTGATCCATGCTGGCTGGGCTTGTGGAAGTTGCTTTAGAAATAGATGAGATCCCAAGATGTAAAGAAACATTAATTAATTAAGTAATCCACTCTGTAATGTTTTTCAAGTGTTTGCTGTGTACCATGATTACAGGAATCATGGGAGGCACCCGAGTATCTCGAATTCTCACAAGCTGGTGAAGGGACAGGTCACACCATTCAAAAACCAGTGTCAGTCCCTTTGTGAATTATTCTTTAACTAAAACCACTGCTGGAGGGGTGGTGTATGTGAGGATGCAGAGGTGTTAAAATCGCTGTGGGCACAGTAGGCGTCCTGATGGCTGAAGGTAAGTTTCATTTGGGGATCTGGAGACTAGAGATAGAAGGAGGAGGAAGAGGGACCAGGTGAACAAAGATGCAACTGTCTATAGGAACACAGCACACTGGGGGGAGGAGAGCAGATGGAAGGGAAGGTTTATTTTGGTGGGATAGCGGCAAGCAGGTTTGGAGAGAATGATGAGGGCCAAATGGTATAGGACTTCGAAGGCCCAGCAAGGTGGTTTGTGCCTTATCCTGTAGGCAAAGGGGAGCTATGAGGTTTTTTATAGAGCAACGTAACAATGCAAGTATTGTCATAGCAAGATAACTCAGGGAGAAAAGAGAATTAGATCAGGCAGATAAGATAAAAGAAAATAATATATGTGAAATATAAAACACATATTCATCCTGATATCATTTTTACAATCATAAGGCAAAATGATTCAAATATGAAATAGTGGGATCTTGGTCCAGGGTAATGCTTACAAAAAGAGACAATAATGAGAACATTTGAGGAGCAAGGATCAATGTGATTTGGTGACTAGTTGGAAGGAGGGAGAAAAAAAGAGGAAGCTACTACATCTCTCACCTTATGTTTCTTTAATCTTAATAATTTTAAGATTATATACTTTGTACTAGTTAAGCATAGGCATTTGATTTTATATATTTTAAAATTTATCTTTTAACTTAAAATTATATTTTATTATTAATAACTAGTGCCCCAGTGCATGGATTCGTGCACATTGAAAAGAAATTAATTAGAAGGTGGCCAGCATGGTGGGACGGGGTGAGATGGGCCAGACATGCCCTGGGGCCAACCTCCCATGGTCCCTCCCCAGCCAGCTGCACCTGGGGCAGTGCCGTGGCTCGAAGGGCATCTGTGGAGTGAGCAGGGTTTCTCTAGCAAGTGGGGTCCCTCAGCCTGGCCTGTGGGGATCAGGCCAAAACCAGCTCTCATCCCCTGAGGGGTCCCGGATTGCGAGAGGGCAGTTCTCAGGTGATGCACCCTGGAATTGGGCTCCCTTCTCTCTGCTTCCAGGGTGCATCACCCGAGAACTGCCGCTGCCAAGTCACCGCATCTCAGCAGCTCCTGTGTTGAGCGTCTGTCCCGGTGTTCAGTGCGCATCATAGCTACCAGTTGGACGATCGGAAGGTCGCTTAGCCTTTTATATACATAGATGTTAGAATAATGGATTCTTCTCATCTGGGATGAGAGATTTATATGGCATGACCCAAAAGATTTTGAGACAAATGACTCATAATGTAAACTTTATGCCCTCATGGTGATTTTAATGAAACCAGAACAGAGGATTAATATTTTACTCCAGGATAGGAAGATGGGGGATTGTAAAACACAAAGTCATTTTAAAGGTACATAAGCATAAATTAAGTTTTAAGGCTTTAAACTCTCAGAAAAGTTTTCTGACTCTATAGAACACTGTATATCCTTCATATTTTATCATTCTTAAAACTCATTACTACACTATCTTGGCAGGGAATTATGGTAGAAAAATAGGGTGAGGGTAGATGAGGAAGAGATGATAAAATAAGCAAATTGTTTCCCTACCACAAGTGAAAGGTGACCTGGGAATTATTCATTATAACATTCATTCATTCATTCCTTAAAGCATTTACTTCCAGGAGCTCTGAATTTTCAGGAATTATATTCTATACTAGAGGCCCGATGCATGAAGATTCGTGCAAGAATGGGCCTTCCTTCCTCTGGCTGCCGGCACCACCTTCGCTCCAGCCGGAGCCACCTTTCTGCCTTCCCACACTGCCCTGAGGCCCGGAGTAGCTGGAGTGGTGTGAAACGCCTGCATTGTTGCCATGGCGATGACGCAAGCGTCCTGCCCAGCCCCTGGTGGCTCAGCACCTGCGTATGCAAATTGACCCACCATCTTTGTTGGGTTAATTTGCATACTCACTCCCGATTGGCTGGTGGGCATCGTGAAGGTACAGTCAGTTTGTATCTTTCTCTTTTATTAGTGAAGATGTAAGATACAAAGAGACAATTAAATCATGTATGTGCCCTCAAGAAGCTTAGAGTATAGGGCAGTGGTCAGCAAGCTCATTAGTCAACAGAGCCAAATATCATCAGTACAACGATTGAAATTTCTTTTGAGAGCCAAATTTTTTAAACTTAAACTATATAGGTAGGTACATTGTTATTAACTTAATTAGGGTACTCCTAAGGCTTAGGAAGAGCCACACTCAAGGGGCCAAAGAGCCGCATGTGGCTCGAGAGCTGCAGTTTGCCGACCACTGGTATAGGGAGTAGGACATTACTAAATGAAAACTTTATCTACACCTGAGAAGCCTTAAACACTGTATGCACATAAGGCTATGGGACTAGAGCAGAGGGGAGCAGAGGAGACAGCTGAGTTGGTATCAGTAAGGTGGGCTAGAGAAAGAAGGGGAGGAGCTAGAGGAAGCTTGGAATGGCTTTCAAGAGAAAGTGATGCTTGAATTTCCTCACTCCATGCCTCACCTTTACACCTCTTCTCTCCTCACTGGGCAATCCAACCACAACCACTTCTTCTCTTACTGCCTTTGACATGAATGCTTCCTAAAGAAGTACCCCCAGCTCAATATACCTCTTTGATGAAACTCTGAAGTTGTGGAAAGAAAAGAGTGCATGGGAGCCTAAAGGTAGCCAACCAAGTACCAAAAAGTAATGTCCTGGAGGCCAAAGGAAGAAACAGTTTAAAACAGAAGTAGGCATGAGCGCTAGGTGTGAAAATGAAATGTGCTTTGTGGTTAGTCCATTGGCATACTTGGCAAGCCTATGAGAGAAATAGTGACGATGGAAGTTTGAAGACTAATAAGGCAACAAATATACTCTGCTCATTTAAGACCCATTTAAAGAAGGGGGGAAGATAAGAACCAGAGGAGCAATTGGGTTAAGGGAGCTCCTTTGATACAAAAGAGAACCTGCTTCTATGCTGGGGGATAGCTTTAGCAGCGAGGGTACAGTTGAAAATGGAGAAGGAAATTGATGGAGTCAGTTATGACAATTGGGAGGGAATGACCTAGAGCCTCTGTAGACAGAAGCACTCGCTCTCTCCTGCTTGAGGCGGGAAGGAAGTGGGAGGCAACAGGTGGGGATACAGGGGAGTGTGAACACCAGGGGCAGGGAATCCATTTAGTTACTGCCTACACACTTGCTCTGCTAAGTCTCCTACATAGACCACAGAGATGAGTAAGAGACCATGCCGGTACTCTCCTTTATTGAACATTCACTTCATTTAAGTGAATAAACGGGTATTTAACCTTATGCTCCTTGAAATCCCAACATGTCCAGTAATGGCTGACAAAGGGAAGAAGTACTCCTTAGAGCATTTAATCACTGACCTTGCTTAGAATTGGTGCTACATGATGACAATAAAAATTAGTCTGACTTTTAGTCAGTTTTATAATCATCTTTAAATCATCTCTAGAAAATGACCCCCTTATGGCCTGCATCTGAGCAGATCTTTTCTGCCCGCTTGCCCTTGGTACGCCACTGATGCTCAGATGCCTGCTTCAAGGTTTCTCTTTGGGAAAACAAACACATAAATGCTTAAAGTTAATTTTGGTAACAAGCGTGAAAGAACCTGAGGAAGTGAAGAAGTCAAGTTTAACCCCCTCATGTTACAGAAGAAGAAAGTGAGGCCCAGATAAGTGAATGGCTCATGAAGCCACTCCATCTAGAAATGGCAGAGCTGGGTCCCAACTCCAGTTCTCCCGACTTCTGGTTAGCTTCAGGAAAAAGTTCCATCCTGTCTGTCTTTCCATACTGCCACCCAGACGACAAGTTAGTGGTATTCAAGCAAGGAATGGTACCCAGATGCATAAGGAATCCATCAAATATTTGGGGAGAGGAAGTAGAAAGAATGACTTGATTGCTCTCCATTCTCCCTCCATTATGAAGTCAAAGTGTTTGCCCTTTAAGGACTTTGGAGCTCACTGTAACCAATCTCTTTCTTTTCAATTAATTTTTTTAAATATATATTTTATTGATTTTTTACAGAGAGGAAGGAAGAGGGACAAAGAGCTAGAAACATATATAAGAGAGAAACATCCATCAGCTGCCTCCTGCACACTCCTTACCAGGGATGTGCCCACAACCAAGGTACATGCCCTTGACTGGAATCGAACCTGGGACCCTTAAGTCCACAGGCTGGTGCTCTATCCACTGAGCCAAACCGGTTAGGGCTTCAATTAATTTATTGTTGGTTGTTTGGTGTGTGTGTGTGTGTGTGTGTGTGTGTGTGTGTGTGTGTGTGTTTAATCCTCACTTGAGGATATTTTTCCATTGATTTTTTTTAGAGAAAGTAGAAGAGGGAAAGACAGAGAGAAATATTGATGTGTGAGAAACACATCGATTGGTTGCCTCCTGCACAAGCCCCGACCAGGGTCCAGGCTGGGGAGGAGCCTGCAATCGAGGTACATGCCCTTAACCGGAATCGAAGGCAGGACCCTTTGGTCTTTCTGGTGTCCATTTGGTGATGAGAGATGCTACCTAATATGCCAATCATCTCTAGTTCTATCCTTTTTAGTTGGTGAGTACTCTAAAAAAATCAACATGTGGAGGATACAGAAAAAGCTCTTACCTCTCTTGAAGTCCGATGGGTTTCATTTTGAAAGGAGAAGGGCAGACAGAGGTGGTAGCTTTGATCTCAGGAGCGTGTCGACCTTGAGGGTCCACGACCACACTCAGGACCTTCGGCGCCTGCTCAGGCTGGACCATGCTGTTGGCTGTCTTTGCCTCAGACTGTGCTGGCTGTAAAGCGAGGGGTGATAGGTGGATCTCCTGATTTTTCTCTTTATCTTGTCTCAAAGAAAGCTGAAACTTTTCTTTTAATCTGTAAAGAATCTAGAGAAGGAGATATAAAGGGCTCCTGTCACATTTTTCACACTCAACAACAAAGTATGATCTCTTTCACCCCAACCTAGAAGACAACCCAAAGTAAAGGTTTAATGATCATACAAGTAAGCAAGGACTTCTAGGACGGTTTCTCAGTTTTGTGGTATTGAGATTTTTCTCAAAAGAATACTAGTATATTTGGTATTTCTAGTTATGGTGCACAAACATGTTAAATATATCTGCACATGATTGTATTCCCCAAATAGTATTAAAAGTAAATTTGGCTAATGGTATTAAAGTGTCAGATAGCAGTTTGATCATAGGTAAGCTTTTAATTAAAAATGGAAGGTTTATAGAAGGCATAAGCGTGAAGTATGGGTTTTTGACATTTACAGAAACAGAGATCTGCATCCAATACAACATGTAAGAAGAAAGTCTTGCAAAATATTAATGAAAGTATAGTTATGCTATAATACATAATTTCCTATGTTGGTAAATATCTGAATTAGTCATATGTTAGCTTGAGGATCTTGAAATAATTAAATTTAGGGCACCTATCAAAGAATAATTTGGACAACCAGTAGATTTTTTTCTTACCCTTTGGCCCATTTAATTTTTAAGGTATGTAGAAAAAAATATTCCATTCTTCCATCCTCGGAGCTCTTTCTGGAACAGCTCATAGAATTCAGAAGTGGCAGAATCTTTACTCCTAAACTTAAGAAAGAACTGGGCTGATTTTGCTGAGACACTCCAATGGACCAGATTGTGAGGTGAGCAAAGTTTGTCTTTCCTATCCTCAGGCTTTCCTTTTTATAGGCCCCTTTTTCTCTCTTTTTAAAAAATTCACTTATGTATTTTTATTTAAATTAAATTCTTTTCTTCATTTTACTGACTATAATTGACATAAAACATTGTGTAAGTTTAAGGTGTACAAAATAACAACTTGATACTATTCCTCTTGTCTTGATGCTGACTCCTCCACTCCAGTTCCTCCTGAAACTAGATGTCCTTGTGCTTCTTCAAGTCTGTTCAAAGAAGTGACTTGATTAGTTAATTCACACAAAGAGCTGACTTAACCCATCATCTGCAATGACAGCACTGATGACATCTGCATCCCACTGAACTCCCCTGCTTAGTTCCTGGGATCCGGTACCTAAAGGAGTGTTGTTTTAGAGGATGGGTTTCTCTGGCACTTTTCAATCACCTTTACTTTAGTCCTGAGGCTAATTCTTTCTTTCCTTTTCTTTCAAAGTTCCTTTAAATTCTAATAATCTCTATATTTTAAATCTACTGGAAAGATACAAAGTCTAAATATATATTGTTTTCCCTGTTAAGGGATGAACAAACAGAAAAGAAAGTTAGGAAAGAATTCACCTGAAATAGTGGAGGAAATAAATCCCTTTGATAACCTATTTCAGAAAATAGTTTAGAAAATATTTGTCTAGTATTCTTTAAATATATTGGTAAAACAAAAGCCTATTCAACAAGATAAAATTATTAAAAAAGAATCAGGATAAAATAAAAACACAACAATCTAAAATGAAAAGGTACCAGAATGAGATTAAAAAGAAAATAAATCAAAGAACGGAAAACTCAGTAGTAGGATGTAAATCTTTGCAAGCAACAAAGAACAGACCCGACAATGACTAAAATATAATCACTGGTATATAAGGTTTATATGGAAAAGCCAAGAGACTACCTGGAATGTAGAGCAAAAGGATAAAGAAATGAAGAGGAGGACAAGAGGAAAGACAGGACATGGAAGTCAAAGAAGAATCTCAGTAAATGATAAACCAGAATCAATGAATGAAAGAGAAGCAAGTCAAAAGCTATTTCAGTGCCCAGTATGTCATGTATTGTGAAAGGTACAGCACCCTGTTCCTGTGGGATTTATAGATACAGAATGAAAAAAGTTCTTAGTTTAAAAAATATATGTCACTTGAAAGAACAGTAAGTGTGAGAATAAAATGGGACAAATTTGCATGATTTTGAGAAAAAAAATACATGTTACAATGGATGTATGAATTCCACAACTAGCTACATAGATGTGCATGTAGATGAAGCCAGTAGAATTTTTCACATACTCGAGGTGTCAGAAAATATGCTATCTGTGTACCCTTCCTGAAAGAAACACACCCTCAAAATCATGAGAAAGGATGATTCAAAATGAAGCAGTAAAAAACTAGAAATTGTGATGTAAAAGAGAGCTTTGGAATTATTTAAACGCAGAGTGAAAACTAAATGTAATTATGTTTCGGACGTTGTCTACAATCCGACATCTCTAATTGTAGTAACAAGAAAGAAGGTTGGAGGAGGCCAGAGAGGTAAAAAATAGAGGCGAATGTATGTTCCCTGACTTTTTAATTAGGGATACGGAGGGAATCAGAGTTAAGATAGTCACTGGAGGTCCTTCGAACCTACCTGTATATTACAGAGGTTGAAGTCTAGCTAAATGACCTGGCGTGCCTACAGCCACATTTAGTGGGGACAGAGCCAGGCCCCAGCGCAGCGCTGTCCTGCAGGCCTGTGCAGGCGCTGCTCCCCCCACCCTGTCCCCCCTTCCTCCCGCCCAACACACACACACACCGCCTCTGGCGCTGCTCTTCACCACACTGTCCTCCTTGAAGATGACTCTGAAATCACACCTGCAGCAGATGTGACTCTCACCACCGAGTCTGAAAGCTACCAAATCTAAGAATACAGCTTTGGGGAGTGGAAGGATCTTCTTAAGGGAAAAGACTATGCACATCTGGGTTACAACTAGAAACACATATTATAATGTGAACTTCCAGAAATTAAAGAGAATCCTTAATGGCTTTTATGTCAGTTTACTTCCTCATAACCTGGAACCTTTTACACAGGTGCTATTCATGGACTCTGGGAGGTAAAGCTAAATCTCCCATGACAAATATTACTAAAAGAAAAAAGAAAGCATCGCATGCCAGTGACTAGTCTTCTTGCTGTCATTATAATTATTCTCACAAGCTACGGGATAGAAAATACTAAAGGTTAATAATGCCAAAGGACGGGGAAGTTTTGAACATATTGCTTCTCTTCAGTATCCATAACCCTTAAAAGACACTTTGCCACCACAGCACTGTGCAAAACCAAAACTCCTACTAGAACAATGCAATCAGATGACACATGCGTCAAGCTAAACACTTAGCTACTAAAGGATGAGGTCATAGAATTTAAGGTGGGGTAGTTGTTGTTGTTTTTTAATTGCAAGCAAGTTATTTTCCTGAATGAGAACAGAAACAAATATATCTGTACATTCACAGAAAAATATAAATAGAAGATAATGTATATATTATGTATTCCAAGCTCTTGTCACCTAAATATAATAGATATGTCAGAACATTTGTTTGCCTGTTTACACCTGGGTTTTGGAGAAGCAGAGTTCAAGAATGAAAATGAGGAAGCCAAGGAAATGCTGGCCTTCACAACAATTACTGGCAGGTCACGCTTCTGATTCTATTCCAATGGGCTGGAAACAAGCTCTAGTCCAATGTCCTTTGCTGTTCATGAGCTTATGTTCTTGATGAGCCTCTGCCAGGCATTTTACAGTCGTCTGCTTACTTCATCTCTGGTCAGAGGTCAATTTCTTTTTTTTTTTTTTTTTTTGATTTTTGTCTTTTTTTTTTATATATATATATATTTTTTTTCGCTAAAAGTATTACAAAGGGTATTACATAAGTGTCTATATAGTACCTGTACACACTGGTTGCTACATCTGTAATGAGGGAAAAGAAGAACTTGGAGAGCGTATATCGCTGTTTAAAAATACTCAAGAGAGAGATCGAACTGTCTGAAAAAAAATGTGGAAAAACTGAGGAGTTTGCAACTTGACAATAAGGCATTTGCCATGAGGGAACTCGAGGGCAGCGGTTCTCAGCCAGCAGGGATTTTGTTCCGGGGGCATGTGGCAATGTCTGCGATAGTTTCTGACTGTCATTCTGGAGTGTGTGTGTGGGGGTGGGGGGTGTGGGGGGGGTACTGCTGGCATCTAGTGGGCAGATGGTAGAAATGCTGCTAAATACCCTACAATACACAGAACAGAACCCTTCCCCACAACAAATTATCTACCCAGTCCAAAATGTCAGCAGTGCTGCTGTGGAGAAATCTGGGATAAGAGGTCTTAAAAAATCATCTGGTCTGATTCCCTCATCTTACTTTTAGACCCAGACTGGTTTAATAATTTATGGACAGTTAGAAATGAAGTCTAGGACCCAGGTTTCCTGACATTCCTGTGATCATTGCCCTCTCCTGTTCTTGTAAATCCCACGTCCTTCCCCCAACCTCTTTCCTGAGGCCTCTGGGAAAGTGTCAGGATTTCCCTCTGCACGGCCGGAGATCCAGAATACAGCTGATGCACATTTTCTGTGAGAATGCGCTTTGTTTGAGAATGCACCTAACAGCTTACCATAGCAATGGCAAGTCAATATTTTTGATTTTACCTTTAGAACTTGTTTGAATCTTAGGATGCAATGCAATGTTTTGATCAATCGAAGAAAAAAAGAAAAGAGAAAGGAATAAAAGTTAAACTATAGCAAGAAAAAAAACAATAGCAGGAAAAAGAAAGCCAGAGGGATGCAGCAATGAGAGGAAGCTAAAAAGCATCCTATAAAGCTCTTTTGCAGCTCATAATTTTTATTTAGAAAACTACATAAGCAGGTAACACAAAACATCTGTGTGAAAAATATATGTTCAAATTTTAAAATGCCAACAGTCCATAGCGCATATATTTTTTTTCTTGACTGTATTTTACAGTTAGTTCTAAAAGAGCTCATTCATTTAATTGAATAAACATGAATTCCTACATTATTCCAGAAACAAGACACTGTGGATGCAGAGATGGCACTTAATGCTATCCTCTGGAAATTCACAGAAGAGACAGATGTGCCCAGTACAAGATACTAAGTACAAAAATAGAGTGTGTCCACAGTAGGTATGGTGTGGTACACATTTATGAGTTCTGTATTGAATGGCTCTGATTTATACAGGCATCC